ATGACACTGATTACCTGAAGTCAAGGGGTAAAAGCCTTTACAACTGGGTCAAGGGTGAGTCAATAGTAAGAAACTGGTTTTTGATGATTCCTATGAAATTGAGATGAAACCCAAAGGGCTTGTTCAAATTGTTCATGCACAATTTGATGAAATGGCTTTTGTAGTTAGGAGTGCCTAAGGAAGGAGGTTATTATAGGGCCTTCTTTAGGTTACAGAAGACCTGTTGTATCTGCTCCCAGATCAGAATCTCTTACTGAAGACTCAGACAATTTATAAAGAAGTGTTGCAATCACAGAAAAGTTTGGTACCCATTGCCTTCAATTTCCAGTTAAGCCTAGAAATCCTCCCAGTTGTCACCTTGAAAGAGGTCCAGAATAAGTTTGGATAGTCTTTAATCTATCAGGAGAGTGTTTCCCTTCCTTAGCTAGGTCATTTCCAAATAAAGGACTGTGTTGTGGAACATTTGTAATTTATCTTTTGAAGCATCACGTTCCTTTCTTGTTAAGGCTGACAACGAGCAAATGATCCTTTTTACAAGCTTTCTTGTTCCCTGAACAAAGTAAGAGATTTATATTAATTATATTATATTATATATGATATTATATCAGAACTGAATCACAAAGAAAATTTGGATCTTATAAATCCTGATTAATGACCTGAGAAAAATAGTAGATGGCTTCAGTGCACCCCTGAGGCATGACTGCCCAGGGATGTTGTTGTCCTCCTTGGTGGAAGGCAAAAAGCTGTTGACTCTCTTGGTCTAGAGACATGCTGAAAAAGGCAAAGCAAAGATCCACTACAGTGAAGCAAGTGACTGTAGGCATAATAGATGACAGTATGCTATCTGAATTACATACTACACAGAAACAAAAGATAAGAATTTTGTTGATGGTCTTGAAGTCTTGAACAATTTATATCTTCATCCGTTTGGTTTCTTCTTTGGCAGGATAAGAGTGTTACAAGGGCTACTACAGACTATGAGAAGATCTTTGAATATATGGTTTTTAAATATAGGTTTGAACTCTTCCTTTTTGTTTGGCCTTAAAGAATATTGGGAAAGTTTGGGTGATGGGTTGGTAAGATCTATTTGAATTTTAATATGTTCTCTTCCAATTCCATTCCAATTCCGATGTTGGAATTTTTATCCCATAAAGTGTCAGGTATGGTGTCAATATCTTTATCAGAGGAATGTATTAAATATTATGTAGAAGGTAAAGGTATATCCAGAGCAAAAACTTGATTATGAATAGAGGAGCCCTCTCAAATCCCAAGAAATAGTTCCTCTCATGTGCATTTGCAAAGCCCATTTGCAAAATATATATCTACTTATTAACTACTTATTAACTCTGCAAGGATGGCATCACAGACCAAAACAAGGAATGTTTTTCAGTCAAGGATATAAGGGTTACAGTTAAGGGCTGTGGATTATTTAAAATACCTTCTCCTGTGTGCTATGTTTTCTCTGAGGAAGAGTTTGAGGAATGGTAGGATTTAACATAGAAAGAGTAGTACCTATTATCTACCAGGAATTAGTGAGGTTGACCATTTATATTTGTAATTCACTTTGTTTGCTTAAAAGCAATCCAGAATATTGAATGCATTTTCCTTCCTTATTGATCTAAATTGAAGGGGTTTTTTTGTTTGTTTTGTTTTTTTCTTTTGTTAAGATGAGATGATTTTTTCCAGTGCCCCCCCTTTTTTTTTACAAAATCTACAAGTGTCCTTATCAATAGGTGGCTGGTTGGGAAGTGATCTACTTAGCTATTTGATCTTTAGGGCCACAAGTTTAAGTATTGTCTCATTTTTATCCTAAAGCCATTTCAAAATGTTATGTCAGGTGTTTTAGTTCAGATAACAGGGATATTTCCTATTCTAATTTCTTTCTTTGAATTAGGTGCCTAGTTTCAGGTTCAGCTCCATTGACAAAATGAGATGAAAGGGCTACTGTTCAATCAGCATCTTCTTTCACACCCACATGTTTTTGGAAGATATGTGTTTTAGTCTATCCTAAAAAATATCCCATAGTTTCATCTTTACTTTTATTACATGATTAAATGATGGTCCAATCAATGTTTATTAAAAATGTTTCATGTATGGTGTTCAGGAGACTTTGCCCTACTTTTGGAGTTCCTTTTTGACTCTCAAGCTTATTGTGGAAAGAGGGATCCTGTAGGTCCCATTCTGGGTAGGTTCAATCAGTTTTGCCATATAGGATTCAGCATCTGAGCTTCCAACCAACATGTGTACAAGTTTAATATAGGTCAAGTAACTCTGGGTCATATGCACCAAAAAGAATTCTAAAGTCTTTTATGAGTATTTACTGGTCTTGTCTAGGTTTAGAGAAATCGTTATAGCTCTTAATTCAGTTTGAATCCAAGGTTTAGATTCCATAGTTCCTTGCATACCTAACATATGCGAAGGATGCATTTTTAGAGGCAACTGGCTTTGGTGGTTTTAGAAAAGTTGGGAAAAGGTAAAGGGTCTGGATGAGAGGAAGCAGAGAGAGGGTTTGACAGAGCTGTGGAAGGAAAGAGATTGGAAGGGTAAGAGGGAAGAGGGAGAATAGGATATAGGGAAGCAGCTAAAGGACAAGGAAGAAGAGGGCTTACTAGGGAAATCATTGCTTAAATTTGTCAAATTTCTCATAGCTTTGGTCAAAGAATCTTTTAATGAAGTAATACTTTATTTAAACTTTCTTTGGAGGCCTCTGCATACCAATCAAAAAATGCTGCCCATGTGAACTGAGAAATTGTATTCCTTTCTTTTCTAAGGAACCTTTCAAAAGAACAATTTTGTGGAAGTCAAATGCCCCCCTCACCCCAAGTGCTCACTAAAGGTTTAAATCATACTTGGGAAAATAATGTCATTTGGAAAGATAAGTACTAGAGTAAGCACTGTCATGAGAGTAGATACATGAAGCAACAGTTTCCCCAGGAGAAAACTGAGATTTAGATGATCCCATGAGAGCTGGCAGTGCTGGTAGAAATGAAATGTTTGTGCAGCTCACATCTCAAACCCAAAACTCATGATTGGTCACCTCCAAACATAGACTCAACAATCTGTGCCTCCTGGCACATGGAATACCATAGAGAATGCTCTCTCTGAATCAAAATGGAAAAAAAAAAAAAAAAGCCCTCAGGACCAAAACTTGATATGGAAAGAGAACCTCATCCAGTTTTACTGGTGACTTACAACAAAGTTTGTCCAAATGGGCAGTTGTGGTAAGAACAGCATACTCATTGGTCTGTGAGGCTACCATGAACAATAGGCTTTGAAGGCATGTGCCTGTGTTCTATCATATGATTCTCCTTCTTATGACAGGTAGCACCTTTAGGCAGCACTCCACAGAGCAGTCACACAAATGCAACAAAAAGGGATGAAAAGAAAGTCTTGATTCCACCAATGATGCTAAACAAATGGGTGGGCACTGATAACAAAACCTGGGTACCAAACTCAGAAGAAATGACCAAAGAACTCAACAGGAAGAGAGTGGAGTTCAGGTCTGTGCTGACTTACCACTCATTGTGGACTTGACAAGCAGCAAGCAGTAAGGCACAATGGGTTCTGGGTGCCTGGTTGAAAACTGGAGGCCATGGTGATGGTCAGTGCAAACTGTGTCTTGATGGAAACTCTGAAAAAGCTGTGGTAATAAATGAAGATCACTGAAATGAAAACAAACAAATGTTATTTATTCAGAGCTTGCTATAGCAAGACAGTTACCACCATCACCTGATATGAGCAGAAACTCAAATGCAGGTAAAGTAGTGGAAAGCTCTAGAGTGGAAAAAGGGAAGGCTTCAGGTGTGCCCTAATTGGAGGCTGTTGGCTTGCAGAAGCTAGAGGACTAATAGAAGTGGGCCATCCTTGGGCGCCTGGGTGGCTCAGTTGGTTAAGCGACTGCCTTCGGCTCAGGTCATGATCCTGGAGTCCCTGGATCGAGTCCCGCATCGGGCTCCCTGCTCTGCGGGGAGCCTGCTTCTCCCTCTCCCACTCCCCTTGCTTGTGCTTCCCCCCTCTCATGTGCTCTCTCTCAAATAAATAAATAAAATCTTTAAAAAAAAAAAAAAAGAAGTGGGCCATCCTATATGATTGGTCAGGAGTACATATTTGGCTTTCTATGGTTCATCCTAAGTTAGAAGTATGGGCAAAAATTACAGAAGCTGGCAATTATTAACCAGGTCCTGATTTGGGACTGATGTTGAACAGGTTCTACTTGTCTTCTTAGACTAATCGCTATAGAGGCTGTGGGTCAGAGCTCTATTTTTGTATGTGGTCTGTCCATTGCTTGCTTGTATATTCAGTCTCTTACCACTCATTGAGTTTTTTGAAGCTGAGATGTCAATTGTATTGGTGGTGGTGTCCATAGCATTGGTTACTACCCCAATAAGGATGGATAACCTGAGAATTTCACCAGACGTGCTTGGTAGCCCAAATAGCGGCCTATCCGGATAAAGACCTGGACCATGAATGGTCAGCTGGGATGATGAGTCCTTCTAGTCTTATAAAAAGTTCTTAGGCTTGAGCTTGCAATAACTCTTCAGTTCTTGAAGGCAAAAACCAGTTACAAGGCAACTTTGGAGTCTCAATAAAAACTTGGCAATCAATTTGTAGTTCTCAGTAACTCCAAGTCAAGAAGGAAGCAGAAAAATTGGAAAGCTTGTTTAGAGGCTAAGATTAGTTTGTAGCCAAATATTGAAGGAAACTGGAAGAACTGAAAATTTGGTAAGGGTTGACAAGCTGTGCAAGGTGAGAAAATGCAGTCAAATTTAGAAGTAAACACCAAAAGTTTTTCCACAGGAAATGAGAAAGCTTGGTTACCAGACAAGACAAAGTTTGCATATCGACCAGTTACCTGCAATTTACAGAGGTGCAAAAGAGCTCAAAGACAATGAATAGGGTCAGAATCTGATGATCCAGAAGAGCATGCTTAGTTTCCCATTGAAACATAAAATGCTCTTACAGTCCCTTTTCCCCTTTTGATCAAAGACAATCTCAAAGAAAGATTATTCTTGATCACAAAACAAGGCTGGTCTCATTAGACATGACCTGTTTGTTTACACAGATGCAGCAAGAAGGACAAGTCAACACATGAGTCTTCTATTTGCTTTGCTGGACATTTTCATAAAGAACCTCAGATTGGACTTTTCAAAGCCTCTCATGGATAGGAAGCCAGGCCAAAACTTCACCATCATTTTTCACCTGCATTACCTAGTGATTTGGTGGGAAGTCCTCTCTTCCTGAGGTCCCCAGAATATCCTAAGGTTCCTGAGCCTGCCTTGCTCACCTATAAGGCTGGGAACTCTGTAAAGACGGTTACCAGGCCAGCTTCCCTAAGAGGGACTTTGTAAGCATTGGCCCCATAAAGTCTACCTTAATTCCTAAAAAGTGCCTGGTCACATCTGATGAAACGAGCATCCTTCTCAACTATGACATTCTAGACAATGCCAGCCTTGATTGCATAACCAGTGTTTCCAATTCTGTCCTATTAACAAGGTGGACAGACTCCTACTGAATCTATGCAAATAACTAGGGTGCCACGAAAACAGGAATCCTCAATAAGAGTTCCACAAATTTCACAGGGTGAGTCAGGGCAGAAAAGATCAATGTTTCATTTCTGCTTTACAAGAGCACAGTCTAATAAATTGTTATGAGGGATACATAGCTTGAGAGAAAAGAGAGAGTGGTTCCTTACATCCAGAAAACAGAGCATTAAGGCATCAGCACTGTTCCAAGCAAAGCCCATGTCCATCTAGTTTATTCAGTGCTTTGTAATTAATTCTTGTTCCACTTGATCTGGGTTAGTAGTCTCATGAACACATGTGCTTCTTGGCTAGAAGTCTAGGACTCCTGACTCAGTCCACTGGTATGATCTCATAATTATTGAAGCAATGCCATCAGCAGTCTGTAGCCAAGAGTACCTGGCATGGTCCACTTCCATGGGTTTCTAGGATAGTCCTTTTTTTGTTAAAGACAAAGCCCTCAGCTTTTGCAAAGGCTCTTCGGGAAGCATCAGAGTAAAACACAAAACCACCTATAAATGACAGAAAATTTAAAATAGCCACGGTTAATGTATTTTTTATAATTTTCAAAGGTGAAAGATCTGATCAGAGTTCACTATTAAAATAGTACAATTGATAAGAAAACATGATTGTTCATGTGACACTTAAAAAAGTCAGTTCAAAAAGTTTTAGACAAAACATGCCAAACAGAACGATGAATGCTATTTTCAAAGAACACTGGATATTATATCTAATTTGTGGAAATGGATAAGCATAATCTTTACAGAGAAAAAAATATCAGATACAACATAACAACTCTGAGACATGATATGCCATGAACATGTCAAGCATATTGTTAGAATATACTTGTTACCAAGCAAAAAGTAAACTTAACCTGATTGAGTTTAGGAAGAACATACTTGAGTAAAATAAAAATGTATTCTTGCAAGGCTGATAACTCAAAAGGTGTAACTGTATTTATTAAACCAACAACATTAAAATAGTCTCATTTGTCAAAGGTGTACCTAAATCATGTGACCTTGAATTTTAAAAAACATTTTGGTAAGTTTCTATAAGAATACTTTTTCCCCGGGGGGGGG